ACTCCGCCAAGCAAAGTCCGAAATCTACTTCGCGATTCCTGCTTTGTTCCTCAGCCAGAAGTCTGCCGCCAGTGACAGATCGTGCGCGCGACACTTAGCTCCGGGCCATGGCCTTCAGCACGTCCTGCACAATCGTATGTCTGCACAGGAAGCGTCTGGCTGAAAAGAACGGAAAACAGAGCCCCAACGACCCCGGCCCTCGGGGTGTCTAGTCCACATTGACCTCTCAGGTCACAGACACCCCAGGGCCTCTTCGCTCCCTTCATCCACAGCAAGAGGAGTGGCAAACCTCGAAACATCAGGAGCTGTCTCCGATTCGGGCCGGATTTAATTCCCTCTCTTTGCGTTTGCGGTGGGGTCTCCTTGCTGAGGGTCACACACTACGCATCTGCTTCAAACGACTCTAAATCCACAAATTGCCCTAAATCCTGGCAGCCCTTCGTGCATCTGTGACGGCCACACCTCACGTGGCTGCAAACCGCAGTTCTTCGCTTTTTTCAACCGTGCGCCTCGCGATGCAGAGTTCAAAATGGATCTGCTCCCCCTGTACCATTTAGGTTCAGTGGAGAACGAGCGGCCCGCGCTAAAGGAGTCACCACTTGATCTTGTGAACCAGTCGGCCCTAATGACTGTCAAGATACTGATGACCTGAAAGTTCAAATCTTGAAGCTCAGCTTTGCGCATGTTGCTTCCGTGCCTCACGAGCAAGACGGGTCTGCTCTTTCCTCCTGTCCATAAATGCCAAATTTGCTGAACGCTTCAGTCTTTTGGGGAAGTTGCGAGACCTTTCCAGCACATCCGGATCTGTCTTGAAGGTACAGGCCGCCGACTTCTTTGCCTGCTTTTGATTCGGCTTCACCTGTGGGACGGAGGGTGCACGCAAAGCCGCTCTTTTTGGCCCGGGGGAGGTCTACTTGGACCAGCAGGGCGAGTAGAGCCAGACAAGCAAGACTACCATCAGAACACGCCGCCGTAACCAACCCTGACAACAGGACCGCCGAACCACCACCAGGACATCATTGTCACGAGAGCTATGAATCACTACTTTGTGTGGTAGCTTCCTGGTATCGAGGTGGAGGGGCGGAAGAACCAATACTGCTACCTAGGGCGGGGTGGTGTTGCACGTCCGAGTCATGCCTGCTCTCCAGGCGTCTGTGCCTAGTGAAGCAAGAGGGCGAGCGCGGTGCCGAGAATTTCGCAACGAGACCAGGAAAAGCAGGTATCAACATATTTCTGATACAATGTATTACAAGACGGATCCGATTAAAACATCGGGAGAAATTCGTCGTGTAACTTGATAGTAGTGGTGCGGGTGGGGTGGGGGGATTGGGGACCAGTAGGACGGCATGGTTGAGCTCGGGGGTGGCGGGTCCGGGGGGGCCGCCGGATGCGGGTTAGAGTGGGGAGCGGTTAAGTCGGGGTGGGCGGGCGAGCAGGCGGGCGGGTAGTGGTAGCGGTGGTGGTGGTGGTTGCGGAAGGAAAGAGGTGCCTCATGAGTACTTTGTCGGGTGCTTCCTGGTGAGTCGGGAAGACTACCACAGTGCACGGGGATACGAGATGACTGGCTCCCTGCCCAAACACGAAGCACAACGCCGTCGACACTGCCTCTCCAACATAGGATTTGTCGCTCCAGGCCGGAAATCGTAGAGAAGCCTGGAAGTCTTCACTGGTCTGCGTCACCTCATAGATAGCCTCCTCAGAAAAAGGTTTTCCTCAGTCAAAGTCCTGAATCACCGGAGACGGCCACCAAATGAGCGAATTCCGTTTGCTTGTTTTTCAGACTAGGGACTGAACCACAACCAACTGCAAAAGCTAAATGCGACGAATTCGGCGCGGCACTGTACGAAAGCATGGACCGCCTCGAGCTCATTTCGTTCCTCCAACCTGAGGTCGAAATACTCCTTGCTTGGATCTGCGCCCGGCGGCCTGGATTTTGCCCTCGGCGGATGGGCATGCATCGAACTTGGTGGTGGTCCTCGCGAAGGCGGAAGAGTGGTCTTCTCCTTCGGTGAAGACCCAGCTTCCGCTTTGCTCCCAGCTAGTGGGGGCGCTTGCCTGAGTATCTCGCCTGGTGGGCAGAAGAATGGGTACGCAGGAAAACCATGCTATGGCCAAGGCTCCATAATCGTCTGCGTTGTCTTTTATGCCGGTAGCTCTTTTTGAAATGACTGTGCATGCGCGCAAGTCAGGCATCGTTCAACCAGCTTTTCTTAGGCTGTGGCTGTGAAATGTGTTTACGACTTGCGTCCCAACTTGAGTCTGCACACGGCTGCGAACTGCAGTTCTTCCGTTCCTCAGTTCCGTCGAGCATGTCACAACCGCCAAGCCGCTTGAAGCCCTCAGACAACAAAGTGCAAAACCGGAACGCTGAAAGCAAAGTCCGGAAACCAACTAATTCGCAAACCCTAGCCTAGCCGATTCGGATGAAGCCTTGGAGCCCTGAACCGATGTCACTGAACCCTGCTGCCTGTAATGTAATTAAAGCTTTGGGGCGCAAGCCTCAGCCGCATCAGCAAGCTGCAGGCTTGCCTGCGACGGGAGCCCACTTTCAGTCGCAAAACCGCCCTGCTCCGTAAGCCTCAATAAGACTTGCATGACTCAAGGCACCGGAGCAATAACACATCGGCATTTTCGAACAAGGCTCAAGAGTCAGCATTCGCGGTTGCACACGTTCAAGTAAGTCTGAACAGCTGTTCTGGATTAGAAGGTTGCCATCCCGGAGGAAACTACATCTATCGTTAGTGATTCAATAGTGAAGGGCAGCCTATCTCGAGAACAGCTGCGACCAGAGAAAACTGCCCATTGTTCAGAAAGAGACCCTGGACCCCAACTCGCCGCATCTCGTTTGGAGATGCATTGAAGTCCCGAACAAAGTTTCAGCAGACCGGATAAGCCTTTCAACCAACCGAATCTTCATTCAGCTCCGAACATGACCAGGCATTCAATGCCAGAGAAGAAACCAACGTCCAAGCGTCAATTACGTGGCCAAAGTGCGACCCAAGCTTCCCAACAGAACGAGACTGCCGGTGCGAAAGTACATGCGGCTCAAAGCTTTGGCCTTCGGAAGGTAGGGGTTGAGAACGTGAGGCTTTGACGAAGTGTGAAGGAACTCCTCGGCTTGCCTTCATCGCCTTTGCCACTTCATGGCTTCCATTGCCTGCAGCCAACATGGCGAACGGTTACAGCACTGGGAAGAATACAAATGCAGAAGCAGCAGCAGCACCAGCAGCAGCAGCGGCAAAAGCACTAGCAATCGCAATGGAGTGGGTTGGTGCTCAGCCAAGTCCACTGCTGATCCGATTTCCACGAGTCGCCATGTTGAGAGCGTTTGAGACAAAGGCATTGCAGCAGATACAAAACCGAGCACAGGCCTTGATTGCTTTCACGGTCTTCGCTGCCTCGCGCCGACGCGGTCGTCAAATGTAGCATGCCGCAGCTTATTGGGGATCACGTCGAGAAACGCTACTGGAAGCTTCAACAGCAACTGGAGAAGGTCGTGCACACGGTTCTTGCTCATGCTGTAGGCTTCCAAGAAGATATGCGACGACGATCCTACAGTCACAAAAGCGCAGTCTGCAGATAGAGAGCTCAAACATTCATTTGATTCATTTGCCTTCATGATCTTCATCGCAAGGGCGTCCTCCGCACCCGCCTTCTTCGTTGCCTGCAGGTTCTTTGAATGTCAACAGCCTCTTCCCACCTGCACTGCCGATCTCTTACCAAGATCCCAGAACTCCAAGACCTCTCTGAACAAGTGGTCGCGTGCCTGCATGGCATGGCCAAGCAACTGCACAATCCAACTATTGCTGTCCCTCTGCATGTTTATACACACACCTACCTTGGGAACGTGCTGACAAGCTGCTCAAGTGCTGCAACTTGGGATGGTTCGTGCTTAGGGCTGAGTTCCAGCCTTGGCATGTTTGGCTTGAGGCGCAAGCAGTATGGGACTTATGCAGCAAAGGGCTCACAGCTGGGGCATGTGCCAAAAGCCTCAAAAGCCTCTCGTTCCGAACTCCGTTCACGACTCCAGAAGTTCCCAGCAGAGGGTGCCGGGTGCCCCAAGCGGGACCTGCCCACATCCCACCTTCGTGACCCCGATCCTGCGTTGGAATCACTTCATGGGTTTGGCCAGATTCATGATCCAATCCTGGTAAACAGCTGAATGAATCATGACCACAACCTCTGAACTCACTGTGCTCTCCCTCCCCCGGTTCGCTCCCAAAGCTCATTTTTTGCCCACATCAGCGAGTGGGAGTCGTTGATGCATGGGCCCCTTCCGAAAGGCCTAGGCAAAGGGGAGCAGCAGCGAGAGCGATTTCCAAGCACGCTTGCTCATCTCACACGCCTTTGCATAAGCAAATCACGGTCAAGCGAGTCACTCGCCAGGTTTCAGCTCGGGCTGTCGTGTCGGCACGGGACCCTGTCAAGCAGCGGAGCGCGTCAGCTTGTTGTGTCCGAAGGCACCACCGCCAAGATGCCACATGATGCCACCAGAGTCTGCAGCACAGGTGAGGTGCAAATGCTCGGTAACATGTAGCTTGGAGGCAGCGGCAGCAAGGAGTGAACTTGCTCCGTACGGCTGCCATGATGTGCCAGCCTCACAGCAGCAGCGTGAAAGCTACCGACGCCGGCTCGGAGATAGCACGGCATGGAGACCAACTGGTGGTGCAAAGCCCTGACGTGCGGATGCACAGCAGCCGGTGCGGTCATGCCACCTGGCTACATGTTGCACAAGTGGACGGACGTTTAGAGCAATGACCCAGTTTGGCCAGTGTCCTGTGCGTGCTGGACTTCCGTGCGGCGTCAGGCAATGCCTGCGTGTGGCTGCAGCCTTCCCCCTCAAGAAGCCCCAGGCAGGGATGGTGGACGAGGTGTCAGCTCGGGACGTCTGGCATGCAAGGCACAGGAAAACGTAGCTCAGATCAGCGGAACCCCAGGAAATACACCCCAACAGCTCCTGAAACAAGCCTGAATTTACGACGGATGCGTGGGACCGAACATCAATCGCAGGAGCTGCAACGAAAACGGCGCCAGAGCGGCTTGCTGGAGCCATGCCCTCTTACAAAGCGCAGGTCCGCACGCGCGTTTGCGGAGGTCCCTGCATCTCCTGTGTTCGATGTGGCAATGGTGGCGGCAGCCGCTCCGGCATCCTTGCTTGCACGCTGAGACCTCGGCTCGAGGGCTTTGGGGTAGCTGACTTTCTGCCATGGCAGGTGTGCTGAAGGCACCATTGCCCTCGCCCCGACGCCACGGAAGGCGTGCACCCGCGCATCACAAAGGATCCGTGACGGTGATGCAACACGCAGCGCCAGCTGCAGGGACGGGTCACGGCATTGCAAGTCAGCGGCGGCGGCTGATAGAATCTGATAGAAGCAATGCGACATTCCTGCCTCACACCAGCCAGGGCACTTAGAGGGCGAGAGAAGAAAGCTCAACTGAAGCAGCACGAGCTCGGTCTGAGGTGAGAGCGATTTCCAAGCACGCTTGCTCATCTCACACGCCTTTGCATAAGCAAATCACGGTCAAGCGAGTCACTCGCCAGGTTTCAGCTCGGGCTGTCGTGTCGGCACGGGACACTGTCAAGCAGCGAAGCGCGTCAGCTTGCCGGTGCTGACCTTCCTTGCGAGCTAGGCCACTGACCGGAGCGGTTGCCACGGCAGGAGTGTGGCGGCAGCCCTGCCCCTGAAGGGGCCGCGTGCATGGACGGTGGACAAGGTGCTGCATCGGGATGCTCGGCATCGAAGGCGCAAGGAAACGACCTCAGATCAGCGGCAGTGTGCTCCACCAGCTCAAGAACCAGGCTTAACTTACGACGGACCTCTGGCAGGGCAAGTCGACTGCTTGGGTACATGTAAATGTAACTCAATCGGGAACCAGACCCCCTCTCGAGTAGGCACACGAGGGAAACCCAAGGCCCCAGAGCCTCAGAGCCCTGAACTCAAAAAATCGAAACACCCCAGAACTTTCAGTTGCGTGCCTTGCAGATCATGACGCCTCCCGTTGCATGCGTCGCTGCTGTCGCTGCCCTGGCATTCCGATGTCAGGGCTCAGAAGGGGGGCTCGATTTGGAACAGGCCACTTCAGCGAGAGGCCTGTCAAACTTGAACGGCCTTACTCTCCTAGCTTGGCCTTTGGAGCTGCAGGCATACAAAAGGGTGTCTAAACCAACGAGGGGGCTCAGTTACACATCACGGAATCATGGCTTCTCGTTGTTGCAGGCAAGTATATGCCCCGCAATGGGACATGCGAATGATAATTTACAAGTCTTCGCCATTTCAACGGCAGGGCTGACGATCGACATGCTGGAACCGGCAACGCGGCAATCGGTGCCGGGGGCGGATTCGATCCGGCAGGATTACCGACATGTTGAAACAGCGGCGGGATATTCTGCCTTCCTGTGTTGCGTCCTTCATGCATTTAAATCCGGCACCCACAAAAGCCGAAAAGGTCTATCTGAATGTCCACCCGTACTTAAACATTCTAACTAAGGTGGCCTGAAGCTCCCCGTACTTCAAAGGCAACCGTGCTGGCCGGACGACGGCGCTCCTGCTTTGCCTGCAAACTGCGGGCTCTTGGGGCTTCGAGGAAGGTGCATGCAGAGTCCCAGTGTTTTGCCATGGATATTTAAGGAGGAGTGCTTTTGCATGCGGCTCTGTGTTGTCTCCACTGCTGTTCTACACCAAATCGCAGTTCATCTTGCGCAAGCTTCACAGAGGGCTAGCCCGAGCTTTCAAGCTAGGCCCTCTAGGTTCTAAGTATGTCCGGGAAAGGTTTGTTGCACCAAGCATGGACCACCGCCCTCTAGGTCAGAGTGCGCACGCCCTCGAGCTGCTGCGACACGATTCCTCTCCAGAACCCGCCATGCACGAAATCATTTGAGGCTTGCCATACGCGAAACAGAAAGGACTGCTTTGTAAACCATGCTTACGTTCACGCGCCACAACAGTCCTCTTTCACAGCTAGCTGGTGTTTTGTGGTTTGCAATAGTTGTCGCATTCAGAAAGAAAGCTGTCGCATGAAGCAAGTTAACCAAAGGATATCCGAGGGCCCAGAGTCAACAAGCGCTTTGCGAATGTGATGAACACCCGCAAGGAATCATCATGTTTGCATGCTGCTCACATATGCACAGGCCAAAGGAGAGCTTCTTTATCGAAGGTAGCAGAAGTGTCTCCCGTCGCATGTGCATTAAGATGCGAGATCTCACTGAGACTTTCTGCCGTGCAAGGAACACTAGCTAGCCAGCGTAACAGACTAAACCTCACAGCCCAAGCCAGCTTGGACACCCAGCCCGAGCGACCTGCAGATCTGCGAAGGATCTCGTGGTCAGGTCGGTAACGTGTAGTGTGTGGGATCTAAGAGGCTGCATTTCCGGCCATAAAACCTGCAGCAAGTTCCGAATCAAGCCTTGTCACACTCTCGCAATCCGCAAAAACAATCTGTCGGCCCATCCAATTGACCCCAAAGGCCCTGAGTCCAGCCTCTGCCGCCTCCGCAGCCATCTCGGCGGACTGCCAGGGTGCGCATCTTTTGAATTGCTTCAGGATTTTCCCCTCTTCGGATCCTTCGAACACGCCGTTTAAGCCCCGAACCCTAGACCAAGAGGATGAGACCCTGCTTACGAGCTCAGGATGTGCCAGAAAAATCGTGCAAGAACGTAAGCAAGACTTGTCGATGCCAACAGCTCATAAATTAGGGCTCCGTGTTTTGCGTTCCCTGGTTGAGCTTAGCTTAACGTTTCGGAGTGTGTGAGTGCGACTTTCCAGCTCCGAGTGTTGGACCGATGTTGTCCTAGTCGAGGCCCGGGAAAGGCTGCGGAGCATCTGAAAGCGAACTAGAAATACGACTGTAAGATTTGCTTCTTTGCCACAAACACAACTAATGCTCATTTCGCCTGAGAGCCCATCTCATTAAACCTTCGGGATTTGGCTTCTTGGCAAGCCTACGCCCTAAATTTTGAAACCTGTGCAAAATCCGACAGTTCGGCCTCCAGCCTGGCGAACTGCAGCATCCAGTCAGGCAGCCTTCTGGCAGCCAAAGGTTCAGAGCTTGGAGTTGAAAGGCGGCGGCTGGCGTTTATGAAATATGAGCCTCACAAAGCTTACACAAGGATGAAGCAAAGAAAGCTTTCACGTTGGAGCCTGATTCTCATCCGGGCTCTACGTTTACATCGTTCGGGGAATTAAACCAAGGTTTTACAATGAGGCTACTACATTGGAGCTCGGAATCCGTATTGCTTCAATCAGAATATGTTATTTGTGAAGGCCTTTGCATTTTCTCCTGCAGCGTTTGTGAACACATTGAAAGAATCGTCGTGAATCATGTCATTGGCATTAGACGAGTCATTCGCTGAGCTTGGACTCTGACCTGCTCAACGGTCGGTGACGAACTTTTCACCCAAACCCTTGCAAAGACTGGACAGGTTTACTTCACACTGCCTGCGAACTTCGCACGGACATGGCTAAACCTGATCAGGGCCTCCTGTCCCTCAGACTCTAGGGCTGTGCCAGCTTTCTGCACGGTCTACCCACTTAGTGCGACTTGTATCACGTGGTCTTTCCTGCCGCATTTCTGCCTCCCTACATATGCCTCCCCCCTTCCTTGTTTCCTTTCCTTTCCGAGTGCCTCGTGCAATAAACCCCGATCCCTGGCGGCGCTCAAGCCGATTGCAGTCGTCCCCAGCTCTGGTCCCAAACCTGGATCCGAGAGCCCAAACCCACAGCAAACTAACCTGCAAGAATCTCCCGGGCTCGCGGTGCCTCTCTCCGCCGCCGCCGGAGATGATGTCCCGCGGAGTCTGATTAGAGGCGGGCTGTTTGGAACAGTTTGGCTTTGGGGGTCCCCGATATGATCCCAACCCACGTTCTGGGATGTTCTGGGCATCCAAATCCCGAACAGTGCCCCAGTGCTAAGGCTTTGAAATTATGTACATGGAAACACAGAGGCTTCATACTCGCCGGAGGCATAAAGGATCCAGTTACACAGCCCTGCAGCTTGTTCTTGCATCCCCAAATGGCGCACAACTCGAGAATCGCGGGTTGAGCTGAGCTGGACTAGTGACTAGGCGGAACGCAGCTGAAATTCGTTGAGTCGGGAGACGAAAGTCCGAAGCCCCCTGCGGCAGGACCTCAACGTTTCGTCGCTCTTCAGAATGCAACGGATTGTAAACTCTTTTCTCGTTCGGGCGGTCTTTTCTCTATGTCCACGCCCTCTTTCACCACAGCACACGGTGATGCTCATCCCTCAGGCCACCCATCTCATCGGCGTGACTACAAATCCCGTGAAAAGCTGAATCCCCAATGTGGAAACGCCCTACGAGTAGCCCTAAACACCCGTGCCGAACCCGAAGTCAGTTTGCAAAAAAAGCAAGCCTCAACTCCGATGGACAAACTTTCAGGCATCGTGACCTGTGATTGAGAGTGCCTCTGCTCCGGCCGAAGCGCTCAGAGCTTCCGAAACGGACTCCCTCTACTCCCCACCTGACCTCTTTTTCCCGACCCTCCAACCCCCCCTTTCCCCGTGTGAACCTTTGGATGAGCCCCACTCCCCCCCCGCTAGACAACCGCGCTTTTATGCAGACTTGCGCCGCAGAGGTCATCCCCTGCACACTGAGACTGCAAGGTTTCTGCGCCGCAACGACGACCGCAACGTCGACCGCCGCTACGACCACTACCAGCACAAATTCTACCACTTCGGTCACAGGCCAGCATCTAGTGGAGCTGCTGCCGTATAGATTCCTACCCTTGGCTGCCGTGCTGACCCTCAAACTTTACACCAACAGCATGCTGGCGTGGTGCAAAATTACGAGTTTGGGGCTTTTTGACCTTGACACGCACACACAAACCCTTCAACTGAAGCAAGGCTGAACACCGAACGCTACACCTTGAAAGACCGATTCGATCCGATCCCACCTGCCTTGGGGGGCCTTGCCCGACTCAGGAAATCCTGATATCGAAGCTCCTCCTGCGAGTCTGGTTTGGCGGCTTTGGAGTTGGGGGGGGAGGGGGGGGGGTCGTGCGAGGCTCAGCGGTTTGAGGTTCTTGAATTTGGGGCTGAAGGTTTCACTTTTGGGTTTTGGGGTGAAGGGTTGGGGGTTTGACCGTTTCGGCATGCACTGCTTTCAGTTTGAGGTTGAAAGTTTGGGAGTCGAGAGCTTAGGCTTCGCTTCTCTTATCAGCCCGAGGCTTAGTACGAGGCACTCGCTTCATCAACTCCGACGGGCTGAGCTGCTCATACGTGGTTTAGTCAACTTCTCGGCTTGGTCCGGGAAGCACGGGGCTTAGGTGGTGCACGGTTTAGGGTCCAAGCATAGGGGTTTGCGCGCTCGAGGCTTAGAGGATTTAGGTCTCACGGGCCGCAGCACTTGACTTGATGGCGTATCTCACATAACCATGGCCATCATCATCATCATGCTCATCCGCATCGCTGTCAGTATACCACCCGTCGTCGTCATCACCAGCCTTATACTGCCAGGAACCCGGCTCTAATCATTCAAGCCTCTGATGGTAGCTGGTACTCTCCTCCAAGCTTCTCATTCTCTCGTAGACTCCTAAATGGACTTCTATGCCAAAGCCTTAAACTGCTCTAAACCTCACACCCAAACCCCAAAGCGATAAACCCATCTAAAACCCGAAACCGGCCTGTGGCTGGATGCCCTTTGCATGGCTAGTGGATGCAGCCGGCACCTGTGTGTAGGGGAGTGTGAGAGGTCAGGACGACAAAGGGTAAGGCTGGGACGGCGAGCTGTGCCCAAGTAGGCGTTCTGGGAAGAAAAACTCTCTCTTCGAAACACAAAGTACCCAAATCACTCAACGCAAGCTCGGGTTCCGGGAATCTGCCAGCCTGAGCCGCACACAAGGCATCCTGGCACAGGGCAGGGCCAGGGGCCAGGGGCCAGGGGCCAGGGGCCAGGGGCCCTGGGCTAGGGGCCAGGGGCCAGACCAGGCCAAGGACAGGACCCAGGCAGGGGACTGGAACTTGGGCTTTGGACCAACACCACATTCACATTTCTCTCGCCCGTTCTGGAGACCACAATCCACATGCAATCGAACGCCTGCAACAAATTCAACACTCCCGCTTGCTGACCTGACCCTATCTGTTGAAACCCTCGCAGAAGGACTGTGCAAAGCTTTGCCTGCAGCACTGTGGCAAGATCCTCCGGCAAAGCCTGCTGGCTCAGCGTCTTGATTGATACTCACGGTATTTCGCAGATTTTTTCAGGATGGCAGTGACAGCAAGGGTTTTGACGGTATGACGCTGACACTGGCGGATGTCATCGTCCTGTAACAATGAAGTAAGAGCCATGATGGTGCCGGTGATGACCCTGAGCAGCTCAACTGTAGGCAGTTGCACGTGGAGTGGTGGAATGGAAAGGGACTTGGTATTCACTCGAAATCGCATGCGCAGGACAAGCCTCAGACCTGGGTGCACATGCAGAAGAGAGCACGGTATTATTGTTCAAAGAAGTGTGCTTGGCCCTTGCCTCATTCAGACACGCGGGGCTCAAAGTGCAAGGACAGGCACGGGAAAAGCGACCTGGTTACAAATGAATCGAAACACAAACTCAGTTATGACACCATCGGGAGTGATACCGACTCAGCGTGCAGGCTCTGCAGCCTGCGAACTGGGCTATCTATATGTGCTCGCTGCAGTGTCAGGAAACCGTTTTTGTTCAGAAATGGAAAATATCTGTGCGACGTCGACCGCGGCAACCACAGCCGCGAGTTGCACTTGTCGGAGCGGACTACATCAAGGCCGCGCGCTGCTCACAATCGTGATGAAGCTCTCCGATATTCATTCGAAGCTGCCGGACTCCCTGGCACTTCGCAACACCGAAAGTTGACCTCGTGCTGCCACTTTCGACCATCTGCGAGGCAGCGTGCAATTATCTTTTCCGTCCAAGAGTCGGTACCATACAGGCTCTGTTTAAAACAAGCTCAGCTCTCTGTTCGGTTGAAGGTTCAGGTTCAATACTCTATACCTTCGGATGCAGCGAGTGAGACTTGTCCTCAAGGTCCAAGCCATCACATAACCCTCCTAACCCCAAACGCACAGCCCGAAATCCTACAAGTCAAAGACAGTTGCTGCTACATCCTCAGCTTCAACCTTGAAACCGAAATCATCCAATGATTGCCCTTCCACGCCTCGGATTCGCTGCTCACACTGCTGCTGCTGCTGCTTTTTCCGTCGCGGACCTGTCGGAATCTTTGGGTTTAACCATAGGAAGTCAGCTTTAGGAACGGGTACTGCAACAAGTGGTTTGTGATTTGGCTTTCGTGACCTGGGATCATCCTTGTGTGATGGGCCTGCTGCGGGCTTTGTTTTGTTGTCAGTTGGCCCCTTGCTTCGAGTCTTGCGATGCAAACCGCAGGCTTGGGGCTCTGTGCTTCAAGGAGTTTCGGACTCTCGTCTGTGGGCAGATATTGATGTTGCTCTCACTCGCTAGTCACCAAAAAGTGCCGAAGACCTTAAAGCGAGCTGCAATCTCTCCCAAATCTAGCGTCCAGAGGACTAGAAACCGTGGAGCCTTAAACACCCAACCAATCGGTATGGACTTCATGCAGCCATGGCGCAGATCTGCCTTTTCGGCTGCGCTTGGAGCTACGACCTCAACGTTTCAAGCACTAAACACATCCGAAAGCTCCCGAACACCTCTTCAAGGTTCTGAGGTCTAGAGCTTTGCAGTTGCAACCTTTCTCAAGACGAAACACCGCTGCTCACAAGCCTGCAGACCATGATTTGGGATGGTTCAGGAGAGTAAGCTCGGGGTAACGTCCGAAGGTGGATACAGTACGGGACGTCAAGGTATGTGGCGTTGGATCTGCGGGCTCTGCTTGGGGATTGTAATCTTACGTTAGGGCATCACTCGTGCTGGTGGCGGTGGTAGCAGTCGTCGTCGTTTGATTAAGGGTTCTTATGGGATCCGGAAGGGGGCTTGCATGGGCTCTACAACGACTTTGTTTCCGAGACGGTGTGGTAACACTGGCCCACTTCTACTGCGGGCGCACGAGCAGCTAGTAGAGGCAGTTAGTAAACTGTGTAGTTAGTAGCTCGTGAGAGATTTAATGGTAGGCGGTAGCAGTTCTCGCCGTGGCTCATAGGCAGTAAGCTAGTAGTTAATACTTAGTAGTTAGTACTTAGTGGTTAGTACTTAGTGGTTAGTTGGTAGTTATTAGTTAGTGGCTAGTGGCTAGCGGTTAGTGGTTGGTGGCTAGTGGTTAGTGGCTAGTGGTTAGTAGTTAGTCGTGAGTGCTTAGTGGCTTAGTAGTTACTCGCCAATACTTTTGCAAAAATGAAGTTGACGTTGAAGCAGTAGCAGTGGCAGTGGTGTTGGCAGCAGCAGCAGCAGGAGTAGTAGTAGTAGTAGTTGTTGTTGTTGTTGCTGTAGCGCTGGATAGGACATGAGTTCTACAACCCCAATTATGCCCCTCAGCTTTGACAATGCGCAAAGCCCAACGTCTTTGACCGAGCTCCTGCCAACCCCTCGCTAGGGTTCTGCTGCGGCTTCGCCCTTGAGTTCCGAAGTCAAGACTCGGAACGGGACTCGATTTCGCAGAGGCCACGAAGAAGCATGTCAAAACTGACGAAACTTGCTTACGGTACGTCGGGTTCGATGCCCAGTAACAGCAACGTCAACACCTTCACCCTCAGTATGAAGCATCCCTCGAGAAAGACCGCTCCCGCAGCCACTTGGCACCCAGGCGCTTCTTGTGCACCGTCGGGGTATCTTGATCGAGCTGAGACCGCCCTGCCAAACAGCGAAGCCTATTCCTATTCAAGGCCTGGGGGATTCAAGAGCCGTCTATCCTGAAGCGGTGCTCTCCACTACGACTTCAGGGATCTCCCGAGTCCCGAAAACCTAAGCCTTGAGGCAGCAAACAAGCACGTCTGCAAATGCCACAACAGCCCTGGGCTTAACACAACACTGCTAACAAAAGCCACAGCACGGGACCTGCAAGGCGCAACATGCGAGACACACCGGTGTCCCTGGTCCCTACGAGATCTGAAGCTGCTGTAATCTCGGGCTCCTCCTCAACGGCTGCATTCAAGTCCGAAGCCTTTTCGATCCAGTCGAAATTCCCATCATTGTCCATTGCCACAACATGTTCAGCAGCTTGAGCCTCCCCTTGTTGGAGCGGCTGCGGCCACGACTCTCGTCGTCCATCGGGAAGCCGTCGACAGCTGCATGCAATCTGTTTGGTCCCTGGTATGTCTCATCATTCTCATCACTCCACCCTGTGGGTCTTCATCTGCTGTCGAGGCCCTTGAAGGTTCACGCTTCCAGGCTCCCATGAAGACGGCGATCAGGGTGCTTAGTCTCCATGCGCTCTGAAAGTCTGCAATCTGATGCGTTGTAAACAGATTTCTTCTGCCTCTTGCGGCGCTCCTCAGCATCCTTTTCAGATCCCTCACCCTCCCGAGCCTTCTTCAAGATGTTTCCTCTGAGACTCGCCCCATATACTGCGGTCTTCCCCAGCAAACATTCATCGAAGAGCATTCTTGCCTATTTTGCCCTCGTCTGGAGACCCTGTTCCAAAAGACTCGGGTCTTCTGTCTGATTCTGGACCCCTTGCTAGTCTCGCTGGGATGTCGGTGCCTTATGTCAGCACAAAACGGACAAGAAGGCTCTTCGAATGTTTCCTGGGAAAGAGCTATCTGGGGGAGTCTCGAACTGTGCCCCCCTTAGATCATTGCAGCACTTCTGACTTCCATCATGATGAGTCATCACTCATCACACTTCATCAGTCCAAGTCCGGAGCCAGAGAAAACAGCAGCGGACACGCACACCATCTGAGGAAATTTCGATATTCCTGGTTCTGGAGGATTGGAGATCAGAACAGAAATCCCTGCGCACTACACTGTACACCCTAACTGGGCCTTCGCCTTCGACACAGGCCCGCCAACCCGAGCTGTATGATTTGGGTCACTGAGCAATCAGGGGCGTGCCCCTGGAGCAAGGCTTTACCCAAAGGGAGAAAGTGCAGCATTGCTACCGACTCCTAGACTTCAACGGTGATTTTGGGCCTCGCTTGGCGGGCGTTCTCGGCCCCTCTTCAGCCTCTTCTTCAGGAGCCGTTCCTTGCAGGCAACATGAGGCTGCTTGCTTACATCACTTACATCTCCAGATTGACAACCTCGGTGCAAACGAGGAGTCAGCAAACACATAAGTGCTTCCGGCTTGGAGGCCTGATTACTCGCACTAGGCAACTCACAAAACAGCCGCAGAAGGAGTGGTAGGCAATTCGATCAAGCCCATGCTCTACAAGCACGACCCAAGCTTCACAAGTCAAGTGCCAATCTCAGAAACTCGTTGCAAGTCCTGGCAGTACCCTGAAACCCCAAAGCCGCCCAAGCCCAAGACGAAGAAAGCAAACAGCATGGGCCCATGAACCATACAACCACGAGCCTCTCGAGCTGAAAAACTCTAAGCACGAAAATCGATAACTTATAACTTAGTGGCAAGCGCCCAGCGGCAGGGGGGCAGCCTATCCTCTCCTCCGACCTCCCTTCCCAGAGACCTACATCCTTGGCCCCGACGCGCAAACACCATCAGAAGCCCCGATTTTCTGGCAAAGCAACAGACACAGGATGAGATGATGGCAACGAGGAGCAGGATGAATATCATGACACAGGAAAAGAAGCTGGCGACAGTCATGACGACGACGAATAGTGTGCTTGTTGCGCAAATTGCGTGCGAAAGCTGCGGCAAGTAGTAACTGCGGTACCAGTAGAGCCGTTGCGGCCGCTCTGTAAACCCCACTCTTTCCCTCTTTCTAAGCCTCTGTCTGAGACCCTGGCGGGAGAATCTCTCCAACATTTCCTCCAAGCACAGCAATCCGTCGTCTCGTCACCACTATCACTGCTGCCAATGATGTAAACTACAACACTGCACTCAAACACAACATCTAAACACCGGCAGATTAGTGGGGACGGCAACGACGCGGAGGACGACAATGATGCTGCTTGTCACGGACCATTCGACTCACAGTAGCCGTGCTGCCCGACCAGGATCGCAAGAATACATGCCTACAGGCTTGCTGAGAACTCGTGGCAGGAAGCTTCACCTTGCCACAGTCCCGAACACTAAAGGCACCTTTTCACAGACTGCTGGGATGTTGCAATGAAATCAGACCAAGAAACGCCACCGCAGAAATGCAGAGCAGACATCGAGTCGAGACTCATGCCATGCAAGATTATGGAATTATGAAATTGGGGCATGAAACACGCAGCAAAGTACTTGCTGTCCCATGGGAATGCACACCGGGCAAATTTTGCTATTCAACATCAATGCTTGATCTCACCTGCTTCTGTCGCATGATCGAGTCATTGACACCTGCCTCAGCGGCATTGATCAGGCGGGCCTCGTATTCCTGGACATACGGACATTGCATGCCAAAGCCCCTGCTACGAATTTTGTGTGATGAGCCACTGTGATGCAGCCTCTGTTGACACGCTGCTGTTGTTGGTGTCGTTGCTGCGGCTGCATTTGCAGTTGGGCTTGCTGTTGCTGTTGCTGCTGCTGCTGCTGCCCGTGCTACCCGAGCTGCCAGGGCTGCTGTTGCTGTTCCTACTACTGTTGCTGTTGCTGCTGGCGTTGCCATTACTGTTATTGCTCTTGTTATTGTTATTGCTGTCGTTGCTGCTGCAGGTGGTGGTGGTGCTAGTGCTGCTGTTGCTTACAGATTTGGGTCGACATGATTGAAGAATGTTTGCAGGCCGACTGGTCTGCGGACCAGGCTGACTGTATTCCCCTAGCGCAGACCAGGGGCCAGGATCCATATTGAGCTAACAGGCTGACTGGTCATCACCCTCGGATCACTCCAGACTGCCCCTAGCAGCTTTTAGTTTTTCATTCTCACCAAATGACTTTCAGATGGAAAAGAGCAGGGAGACTGCGGCAAAGTTCGATGAAGTACTCCTGTGCGACTTTGTGGGCATTTGAACTTGCTGCTTGTCTGCCCATGACCCAAAACCGAAAAGTATGCAAGACACTGCGACATGGCGGGCGGCCTCCTTCAACAGGATGTCATCGTGGCTGCTGTCGATAGCCTTGAAGGCTTCAGCTCTGGCTTTGGGATGCGAGACTTGACTGCTCAGCATGTCCATGTCGGCCTCAAAGGAAGCTGCCACCTCTTCAGGCTGCGCCTGCTCTGTGGCTTCACGATACGACCATGGAGCTCCGAAGATGCTTCATGCATGTCGCGCAGGAGGTCGCACCTCGGAGGTGTGGGGATGAGCCGAGGCCGCAAACTCCTCTGCAGGGACCACCTCGGCAATGCGTGCGTTCGCAACCTCGCCTGTGCCGGCCAAGCAGAATGCGAGGAGCGCGCCCCATCACCGTTCGTTTCTGCCTGGGTAAACTCCTCGGGCAAAAGTGCATGGCAAGCGCCGGCACACAAGAGCTCCAGGTACAGAAGTTTACGAGCATCAGCTTCCAAAACTCCTCGACTGACATGACGGTGGAGATCGGCGCCCGCTCACGCTCCTTGGCAACCAACAGGTAAATCTTACAACTCTCAATCATAAATGACTCAATGAACGACTGTTGGGGAGGGAGCATGCTGAGTTGGTTCCAACGAACCCCTGTGGATTTGTTGCTCCCATTATATGTCGTTTTTCTGCGAATCTCTTTGAGGAATCCTTACGAACTCGTTTCGCACATGTACATTGCTGCAGGTGTTGATGCCCAAGTCGAAAATTCCAGGTGCCAGGCTTCTGCAAGCCGTGACTCGGACCTAGCCGCAGGGAGATGACACTCTGACTCTACCCAGTCTAGCTGATGCTGGCATCGCATGTGCCGATCACCCACGACCCATAGCTGTTTCAGAATCACCTGCCCCATGTTGCTTCTGTCGGCCCACAAGCCGGTGCAAACCTGTACGTGAACCACAAGCTGAGCAGCCGACACTGCACTCTGCATGGGGCTAGCGCTGCTGCCATCCTCCACAATCCCGAACACTTAGGGCATGTGGTCAGAGCATACATCGAGACGCATGCCATGCACATTTTGGAAATATGGAATCGGGGCATGCAACTTGCAGCAAAGTGCTCGCTGTCCTCCGGGAATGCACACCGGGCAATTTCGCGATTCGACGTCAATGCTTGATCTCATTTGCTTCTGTCGCACGATCGACTCATTGACACCTGCCTCGGCGGCTCTGTCCAGGCAGTCCTCGCATTCCTGGACGTACGGACGTTGCATGCGAAAGCCCTAACTACGAATCTTGTGTGATGAGCCACCAACGCAGCACTTTGATGCAGCCTCTGTTGACACGCTGCTGCTGTTGGTGTCGTTGCGCCGGCTGCAGTTGCAGTTGAAGTGGCTGTTGCTGTTGCTGCTGCTGCTGCCCGTGCTGCAGTACCCGAGCTGCCCGTGCTGCTGCTGCTGTTCCTGCTACTGTTGCTGGTGCTGTTATTTGTATTGTTGTTCTTTTTGTTACGGCTATTGTTATTGCTCTTGTTATTGTTATGCTGTCGCTGCCGCTGCCGCTGCCGCTGCCGCTGCTGCTGCTGCTGCTGCTGCTGCTGCTGTTGCTTACAGATTCGGGTCGACATGATTGAAGAATGTTTGCAGGCCGACTGGTCTGCGGACCAGGCTGACTGTATTCCCCTAGCGCAGACCAGGGGCCAGGATCCATATTGAGCTAACAGGCTGACTGGTCATCACCCTCGGATCACTCCAGACTGCCCCTAGCAGCTTTTAATTTTTCATTCTCACCAAATGACTTTCAGATGGAAAAGAGCAAGGAGACTGCGGCAAAGTTCGATGAAGTACTCCTGTGCGACTTTTTGGGCATTTGAACTTGCTGCTTGTCTGCCCATGACCCAAAACCGAAAAGTATGCAAGACACTGCGACATGGCGGGCGGCCTCTTTTAACAGGATGTCATCGTGGCTGCTGTCGATAGCCTTGAAGGCTTCAGCTCTGGCTTTGGGATTCGAGACTTGACTGCTCAGCATGTCCATGTCGGCCTCAAAGGAAGCTGCCACCTCTTCAGGCTGCGCCTGCTCTGTGGCTTCACGATACGACCATGGAGCTACAGAAGTTCATGAGCATCAGCTTCCAAAACTCCTCCACTGACGTGATGGTGGAGATCGACGCCGGCTCACGCTCCTTGGCCAACCAACAGGTGAAACTAACAAGTCTCAATCGTGAATGACTCAATGTACGGACTGTTGGGGAGGGAGCATGCTGAGTCGTCGGGTGTTCGTTGTGTTGCTGCGGCATTGGTTCCCAACGTATCCCTGTGGATTGGCTGCGCCCATTATATGTAGTTCTTTCTGCGAATCTCCCTGAGGAATCCGCACGAACTCGTTTCGCACATGTACATTGCTGCAGGTGTTGATGCGTTGGCTGCAGACGTTCCAAGTCGAAACTCCAGGTGCCCCGCTTCTGCAAGCCGTGACTCGGGCCTAGCCGCAGGGAGATGCTGCAAAGGCCTGACACTCTACCCGCTTCAGTGCCGATCACCCACGAGCGATAGCTGTTTCAGAATCACCTGCCCCATTTTGCTTCTGTCGCAGCCCACAAGCCGGCGCAAACCTGTACATGAACCACAAGCTGAGCAGCCGACACCGCACTCTGCATGGGGCCAGTGCCGCTGCCATCCTCCACAGTCCCGGACACTTGGGCATCTTTTCGCAGACTGCTGAGATGCCGAGCATCCTTGGCCAACCAACAGGTGAAACTAACAAGTCTCAATCGTGAATGACTCAATGTACGGACTGTTGGGGAGGGAGCATGCTGAGTCGTCGGGTGTTCGTTGTGTTGCTGCGGCCTTGGTTCCCAACGTATCCCTGTGGATTGGCTGCGCCCATTATATGTAGTTCTTTCTGCGAATCTCCCTGAGGAATCCGTACGAACTCGTTTCGCACATGTACATTGCTGCAGGTGTTGATGCGTTGGCTGCAGACGTTCCAAGTCGAAACTCCAGGTGCCCCGCTTCTGCAAGCCGTGACTCGGGCCTAGCCGCAGGGAGATGCTGCAAAGGCCTGACACTCTACCCGCTTCAGTGCCGATCACCCACGAGCGATAGCTGTTTCAGAATCACCTGCCCCATTTTGCTTCTGTCGCAGCCCACAAGCCGGCGCAAACCTGTACATGAACCACAAGCTGAGCAGCCGACACCGCACTCTGCATGGGGCCAGTGCCGCTGCCATCCTCCACAGTCCCGGACACTTGGGCATCTTTTCGCAGACTGCTGAGATGCCGAGCATCCTTGGCCAACCAACAGGTGAAACTAACAAGTCTCAATCGTGAATGACTCAATGTACGGACTGTTGGGAAGGGAGCATGCTGAGTCGTCGGGTGTTCGTTGTGTTGCTGCGGCCTTGGTTCCCAACGTATCCCTGTGGATTGGCTGCGCCCATTATATGTAGTTCTTTCTGCGAATCTCCCTGAGGAATCCGTACGAACTCGTTTCGCACATGTACATTGCTGCAGGTGTTGATGCGTTGGCTGCAGACGTTCCAAGTCGAAACTCCAGGTGCCCCGCTTCTGCAAGCCGTGACTCGGGCCTAGCCGCAGGGAGATGCTGCAAAGGCCTGACACTCTACCCGCTTCAGTGCCGATCACCCACGAGCGATAGCTGTTTCAGAATCACCTGCCCCATTTTGCTTCTGTCGCAGCCCACAAGCCGGCGCAAACCTGTACATGAACCACAAGCTGAGCAGCCGACACTGCGCTCTGCATGGGGCCAGTGCCGCTGCCATCCGCCAGCGCCTGCAGCATTTGACGTGATGTCCTGCCCTGGCATGCTGCTCATCACTAGTGGGATTGATGGACAAGGTTTCGTTCGATCAATGGCCAAACTCCACAGCCAAGCTGCCATGACCTGAAGGTCGGTCTCCTGCTGATGCACACCTCAAGGAGCATAGGATGGCACAGACTGCACCTGTCCGTCAGGTCCAAGGCCACCACCTCTCAGCCCTATCTGCGCGGCCGCAAGCCTGTGGTCCACCTGCTGTTCGAGTGTGCTGGCAACTTGGAGAAGCCGTGGCCAGTCTGTATGGCGTTGCCAGCCGAACAAAACACAATACCCGTATCCGTGCATGCCATGGGCATCCCAACTCAGCGTGCGCTCAGCCCTCCGTTCCACGAAGAGAGCACTGCAATAGTACGGCGTTCACTGTTCGTACCTGACTTCTGCTGTTGTTGGAATTCCGCATCTGTTTATGACTGGATCATCCGTCGACATATTGGTGTACGGAAAGGCCCGGAGTGAGAATAAGGGTCAGCAGCTGGAGCAATGGCAGCAGCACCACTGCGACGACGATAAATCCTGTAAGTTGGCAACTAGACAGAACCCACAGCAAAGTCACAGCAGGCAGAATGCGCATCAACCCCGACAAGCCCGTGCGTGACTCCTCACTCTTCCTACATAACCAACAAGAACCGTCTGCACAGTTCGAAACCCCTACAGCTGAATTCTACCAAGTGTTTGCGCGAACCGTCCTCTAATACAGGAGACCAGGGCGTGAGTCCAAACTGGCCCGTACTCTTCCCCATGAAGCCCCCATGAAGGGTACTTAGTCGGCATTGTCTGTATCAATCTGTAACCTACATACTGCAACATGGTCCCAGCTAACACTTCGAGTTTCCACTCCCCATGCACACCATTTTCAAAAGCCACTGACAACAAGGATCCAGCACGAACTAACCTCATCCGTAAACTACACTGCCTGGCAAGGTGGTGGCTGCTTCACGCGCAGACGGGTGCGCTTGCAGGGACGTGCTCCATCCTCCCGAACATGATGTCTCTCAGACGTTCAGTTGTTGAATGGGCCTGCCCAGCGTCATGCATTCATGCCGAGCAAGCTCACCCAGCAAGAACGACTTGTCTACAGTAGTCTACACTCCATGGCGAATGCTCAGGTGTTGATAAGCTTGCTTCGCAAGCCACCAACAGCTCGCTCGCCTCCATGACTGTAGGACTGTCTGCGTGAGGTGATGTACCGAGTCGTAAAAACAACAGGATTCTTGCAGAGATTGCACTCAGCGCTTTGTCGTGGAATATAGATCAGCACTGAGGGTCAGGCATAGGAGAGGTTGGCCAACCTGCCGAAAACTAAAAGTCTGGGAGTTACTTGATGGGATTGACAGGGCTCGCGAAGGCCAGCACACACGTGGTCACAAGTGGTCATCGGGTAACATCGCGGCAAGCCCATCCTGGAGAAAAAGTTGCTCCCAACCTTATGAGACATGACCCGAAGCCTCAACGTGGATCTGCAGCCTTTTCTCTAGCCAAGTAACAGCCCACAAATACACAGCGACATGACGGTGGTGTTTGTATGTGGGTGCGTTTAAGTTAAGCAGGTATGAAGCCCTAAACACGAATCCGTCAATGTAGGAAGCACTCATACTCCCTCGCTTAAACCCACAAAGCCTCAGACGGTCTGGCCTGCGAATGGGGACGGCGCTGCTGCGGTTCACCAGCTCGGTGAAGGACAGAAGAACCTCATTTCTATGCCTTTCGGCATTATCTGCAAGTTATGTCTGTCAAGGGTTGAGCTCCAAGCAGACGCACTGCAAGGAAAATCAGACTCCAAAGCATGCAGTCCGGAAAGCAAGGCTACGATATCACCCCGGATACCATAGAAACAACGTACGTGAAGCCGTTTTAGTGCTGCAGCAAGGACTGGGACCTGGGGTTCTCCGAGCGCAATGGGCATCTGGGGGTGCATCTTTGGCATATAGTATACTGGGGTATTGGTTTTGGACACATGGTAGACCCAGGTCAAGCAAATACCAACAAGTTAAGCTTCGAGTGGGTTCAGATGCGGAGATCCAAAAATGTGGCCTCGATACAAGATTTGAGTTTGGAAGGTGCTCATTTGCTACTAGCACTCAACAGCACTTCTTAGAGGAGCCTCAAGCTTCGTGAGTGCAATCCCGGTGGAATGATGGAAAGGGAATCAGGAA